GTTCCTAAAAAAATCTAAAAGGGGGCCAAAAAGTTTGGGAACCCCTGCTGTAGACACAGGCGGGAAAACCACACCGACGCCAGGTCTACCCTGAACTCCGTCACTAGAGTCGGCTTCCCTTAAATGGAGCTCGATGTAGAGGGTCTGAGCTAGACCCGCTCCATCAAACTCCGGAAACTCAATCGCGGTTGAACTACCGGTGGAATCGCTCTAATCCGGCACCTTGGGGACCTGACGGGTGCCGCACGGGAGAGTTTTCCAGACTCCGGAGATATTATCTAGCCGCATGACCGGCACGGCTACTGTTTGGTGGGCTCTTAGAGGACATGGAGGCGTAAATTGGAGCTAAACCACAGCGCAGAGCACTGAGCGCCAGGCCTGGCGGCGCTCGACAAACTTTAGGGGACCACGGGAAACTCGGCCACCCCCATGGAAAGCGGACATCCGGCTCACGAAAATCTTGCCGGACCACGGAGGTTGCCGGACTAGAGAGGTTCAGCCTATAGCAACACAGAGACTGGTTTAAAAATCCGCACCTGAGGCTTGACCCGCACAGGTCAGGACTCGTGGATTTCACGCCCCCTTCCCCCCCAAACGCCGTGCAAGAATCGAAGGGGGGGGGGGAGCTCTCACCTGCAGGAACTCACTGGCCGGCTGCCGGCACTTCCCCTCCAGCTCGCCGATCAGTTCCCCGAGCCGGGAAATTTCGCCCGCGAGCCGGTCGCCGTTTTCCTTCTGCTGCTTCGCCAGCTCCTTTTCCAGCGCGCCCAGCCGGGCCAGCAGGAGGCGCTCTTGCTCCTCCAGCAGTTGGCGGAACTGCAGGATTTCTGCTCCGATTTTCTGCCTCTCCGCCCGGGTCTGCTCCTGGGGGGGAAGGAGAGTTGCAGGTGCAACTAAGGAAAAGGTGGGGCTGGGGGGGCCCTAGTTGGGGGGGCACCGTCAGGGGTTAGTAGGGAAGGTCACAATCAACCTCCCCCTCTATTTTTTTCCATCCATGTGCGGAATAAATTTTGTGATCTGCTCCTGCGAGCATGCGCACCACCTGGAGGAACACAGGCAGCCGGCTGGGGGCGCTCTGCTTATGTACCGGGTGGCGTGGGAATCTCTTCCGGGTGGGACTGGATTAGTGTGGGGGGAAGAAGGAGTCAGGCACCCCCAAAGCTCAGACAAAGGTTATGCCCCCCCATAACAAGCACCTACCAGGTATTCCTGGCTTTTCTCCTCCTCGGCCCGTTGGCGCTGGAGCAGTTTCTCTCTCTCTTCCTTCAGGGCCTGCAACCGGGTCTGGATTTGTTCCTGCGCAAAGAGACACGCCAGCTGCTGGGAGAGGGCGTCTCCGTCACCGAAAGCCATCCAAGCCGCCCTCGGGCGCGGCGGAAAAACCGTCCCAACGTGTTCAACGCTACAGGAGTGGCCGGCCGGGAAACCCGCGGCTCTGGAGCCAAGCGCGATTGTCTGACGGGTTAGCCTTAGTCGACCCCTGGCCGGGGTCATCCCCGAAAGCCAGGAGGAGATGAGAGGGGTCTAGAAACCCCTGACCGGTGCGGCTAAGGAAACGTGACTGACTTACCCCCAAACATGTAAGAACTAGGGGTCACCCAATGAAATTAACAGGCAGCAGGTTTACAACAAAAGGAAGGATTTCTTCATTCAGTGCACAACCTGCGGAACTCCTTGCCACAGGATGTACTCCAGGGCTGAGGGGTCCTTTATGCCCCCCGGGGGGTGCCCTACCTTGTACTCCAGGGCCAGGGGGGGTCCTTTCCGCCCCCCAGGGGCACAGGTCCCCCTACCTTGTACTCCAGGGTCGGGGGGAGTTCCCCACCTCGTACTCCAGGGCCAGGGGGTCCTTTCTGACCTCCGGAGGGCACAGGTCCCTCTACCTCATTCTCCAGAGCCTGAAGGTCCTTTACACCCCCTGGGGGGCCATATCTCATCCTCCAGAGACTGGGGGTCCTATCTGCCCCCCCGGGGGGCTCTACCTCGTACTCCAGGGCTAGGGGGGGTCCATTCTGTGCCCCAGGGGGGCTCCATCTGATACTCCAGGGCCGTGGGGTACTCTCCGCTCCCCGAGGGGACCCCACCTCGTTCTCCAAGGCCGGGGGGGTCCTTTCCGCGCCCCAGGGGAGCCCACCTCATCCTCCAGGCCTGAGGGGTCCTTTCCGCGCCTTGGGGGTTCCCCACCTCATACTCTAGGGCCAGGGGGTCCTTTCTGCCCCCTCGGGGGACCCCACCTCGTTCTCCAGGGCTGGGGAGTCCTTTCCGCGCCCCAGGGGAGCCCACCTCATCCTCCAGGCCCGGGGGGGTCTTTTCCGCCCCTTGGGGGTTCCCCACCTCGTTCTCCAAGGCCGGGGGGTCCTTTCTGCCCCCTCGGGGGACCCCACCTCGTTCTCCAGGGCTGGGGAGTCCTTTCCGCGCCCCAGGGGAGCCCACCTCATCCTCCAGGCCCGGGGGGGTCTTTTCCGCCCCTTGGGGGTTCCCCACCTCGTTCTCCAAGGCCGGGGGGTCCTTTCTGCCCCCTCGGGGGACCCCACCTCGTTCTCCAGGGCTGGGGAGTCCTTTCCGCACCCCAGGGGACCCCACCTTGTTCTCTAGGCCCGGAGGGTCCCCACCTCACTCTCCAGGGCCGGGGGGTCCTATCTGCACCCCCACTTTGCTCTCCAGGCCCGGGGGGTCCCCATCTCGTTCTCCAGGCCCAGGGGGCCCTTTCTGCCCCCTTGGGGGGTCCCCACTTCGCTCTCCAGGCCCGGGGGGGTCCCCATCTCGCTCTCCAGGCCCGGGGGGCCCTTTCTGCCCCCTTGGGGGGTCCCCCCTCGCTTCTCCAGGCCCGGGGGGTCCCCACCTCGTTCTCCAGGCCCGGGGGGCCCTTTCTGCCCCCTTGGGGGGTCCCCACTTTGCTCTCCAGGCCCGGGGGGTCCCCATCTCGTTCTCCAGGCCCAGGGGGCCCTTTCTGCCCCCTTGGGGGGTCCCCACTTTGCTCTCCAGGCCCGGGGGGTCCCCATCTCGTTCTCCAGGCCCAGGGGGCCCTTTCTGCCCCCTTGGGGGGTCCCCACTTTGCTCTCCAGGCCCGGGGGGTCCCCATCTCGTTCTCCAGGCCCAGGGGGCCCTTTCTGCCCCCTTGGGGGGTCCCCACTTTGCTCTCCAGGCCCGGGGGGTCCCCATCTCGTTCTCCAGGCCCAGGGGGCCCTTTCTGCCCCCTTGGGGGGTCCCCACTTCGCTCTCCAGGCCCGGGGGGGTCCCCATCTCGTTCTCCAGGCCCGGGGGCCATTTCTGCCCCCTCGGGGGGTCCCCCCTCGCTCTCCAGGCCCGGGGTGCCCTCTCCGCCCCCCTTGGGAAGGGGGGGCCCTACCTTGTACTCCTGGGCCGCCTCCTCGGCGGGGATGACGGGGTGGCCGCGGTGGGCCCGGGAGCGGTCGCACACCACGCAGATGGGGCGTCCCCATCTCGTTCTCCAGGCCCGGGGGCCATTTCTGCCCCCTCGGGGGGTCCCCCCTCGCTCTCCAGGCCCGGGGTGCCCTCTCCGCCCCCCTTGGGAAGGGGGGGCCCTACCTTGTACTCCTGGGCCGCCTCCTCGGCGGGGATGACGGGGTGGCCGCGGTGGGCCCGGGAGCGGTCGCACACCACGCAGATGGGGCGCCGGTCCAGCTCGCAGAAGAGCTTGAGGGGCTCCCCGTGCGCCCCGCAGCGCCCCGGCCCCGACGGGGGGGCCCCCGGCGCCTCCAGCCGCCGCACCAGCT